GGGGGGAAACCAGGAGAAGGAGGGGGGGGGGGGGAGGGTTCAGGATGGAGGGTGGTGCCTTACCGTCACCACGCGTGGCTGTCGCGGCAGTACCTTGTGTTTGGAGAGGTGAGAGGATGTGTTGTATCGAAGATAGAGAATATAGAGCTGTTGGATGTAGGTATTCGGTTGGTTGGCGGCGTACTACCCAGCAGCAGCGTAGCGATTTATGGGGCGGATACCAGATGGAGTGATATTTTTGGGAGTTGCTAGGGCTGCTTGGCATGTTGGCGGGATCAAGAGCCGGGGACAGTTTATCTGTTCAAAAGAGGAGCTCGTAAGATGGGGGGCGTGGGGCTGGGAGATGTCCAGGTCGCGTTTTGTTCACCCTTTGACGTATGTTTGCTGTTTCTCGCAGCTGTGCGCGTCCTTTCCGGTACACACTCCCCAAGAAACTTGAGGCAATCGGAAGCGGAATGCCGGGCGGTGTGGTCTCGGAGCCGCTTGTTTTCGAGGTTCCCCCCTTCCATGTCTTGTCTATCTGTCCGACTTTCTGAGCGAGAGGGGGGCTTCATTGAACGCAAGAGCATCAGCCTGCAGTTGGCCGGCCGAAAACGTCCGGAATATGTCGCGCCATGCTTGGCTCCCTCTTTGAGTAAAACAAAGACATACACACACCCCTTCGACAGGGGTAATGTACCGTCTCGAACGGGTAGTCTTTGAGTGATTTGAATGCGTGTGTGTTCTACTTACTAATTTTTCGTCGTGTGTTTTTTTTTTCTTCCCTCGAACCTCCTCCTCTCGCTCTCTGTCTGTCTGTCTGTCTGTCTCTCTCTCTCTCTCTCTCTCTCTCTCTCTCTCTCTCTCTCTCGCTCTCTCTCTCTCTTTCTTTCTTTCTGTGTGTCGAATACCTGCGCGCGTGTGCGCGGGTGATGTTTCTCTCCCGGCGACTCGTCCGTCCTTTACACTACTCACCGTCAAAAGATGCTGGGTGCTCACATGAGCCAGATCGCGCAGTCGACCGCGCGCGGGGGTGGGTGGGCGGGAGGCGGCGCGCTCGGATACACGTCCCCGGGGCACTACTACCTCGGCGCCGCCCTGCAGGCCGTTCGGCGAAGGAAGACAGCCGACAGGCTTCTGAGAGGGGTGAGTGGCTCCAAATTGTTTTCGAAGTTCTGAAGTAAGACAGGGGAGAGATTTCTTAGAGGGATCACACTGGTATTTTGAGAAGGTCTTGGCTACTTTTTCGAGACGGAGAGGGAGTAGCGACGTGGGCACTGAGTGGCAGCAGTAATTTTCCACGACAGAGGGGCGCGTTGGCGTCATAGAGGGACCAGCGTGACGCCAGTTGCAGGGGTACGAGCTTTGTTGGGCACTGCTGTGGCCTAAGGTTTGTAACTTTGCACTAATAGTTTTAAGTTTGAGACAGAGGACGCACCCGTTCGGCGAAGGAAGAAGCTTCTGGCGGGTGTCTGTTAGGTATGTCAGAGAGCACAAGCCGGCACGAAATATTCCACAACCGCACAACAACAGGGTCGGCTGTTTTGTTGTTTTGTGTATTCTTCGTGTTGCGCTTCACAATGGTCGGTGTAGTGCTCTCCGTCCTGCCGCCAACCTTGTTGGCTTACCAGTCAGCCCCTCCAACGACACCGCTAAGCCGCCGCATGCCTTGTAAGTCGCATCGGCACTAGTGATCATGTTCTTGTGTGGGCACAGCCACCGCCCCCCTTACCACCCAGCCACGTCGTCGCACTAACCCCCCCCCCTCTCCCACACGTTGCGGCAATGTCGCGAAACGGCACCAATGACGCCGAGAAGATCGACAAAGATAATCTCCTGGCTTCTCTGGAGGGCCTTGAAGTGCGGGAGCCCTTGTACCTCGGGGAGAGCGTGCGGCTCGTCGACCCTACGAACGCCGAGGTGAGTCGGATGAAATGGACACACGAATGACGAGGGCTGCCTACGCAAAGAAAGTAAGTTTATTGCGAAAAAAAAACAGGCAGGGGGCTCGCAGACCGTAACCTTAACTTAGCCGATTCTATTATGTTTTTTTACTTAGAAAATGCTGCGTAGACTACTGAATCATCAACCCAACGGCCGGGCATTGGAGTCACTGCTGTTTTTTTTTGCAACACCCCACCTTCTGCGGTCTACCTACCGCTTGGTGGTCGTTGGCGAACGCATCATCAATCATCATGGAACTTTTCACGAGAAACTAGCTGCAGCCCAGACGTTGCTACGAGCACGTTCGCAAGCCCAGTTTTTTTTCGACTTTTTTCTACTTGAGGCTAATTTCCTCATCGCGTTGTCATCGTCGAGAGCCGAAGCTTGATGCCCAGCGTTCCTCCCTGGCTGGCTCATTCGATGGGACTCGTCCGTTTGATCGGCTTCCTCAACGAATTGTCCAAGGGCTTTTCGTCATGAGTTGCCCCTTTTCGTTGCCGGATTCTTATGTTGTCGTCTTCATCACGTACACAGTCGACCCTAACCCGGACTGCATAGTTGTCTTCGACGCTGCCTCAAGTGACCCTTTCCCTTTAACCCCCCCCCCCCTGGTTCAACATCCGCCGTGTGCGGCACAACCAACAACAACGACGACGATGACGACAGCGAAACCTTCGACAGGAGTGCCGAGGGTTCCTGGACCTGGAGGAGACCAAGACCGACAGGGTGGGGATGGCTCGTTCCCTGCTGGTGAAGGCTTTGGAGCACTGCCCGTCGGGAGAGGAAGGCTTCCGACGGCGGCGGGTGCTTATCCTAGGGCACCTCGGGGAGGAGAGCTTCGTCGCGGGAAGGTACGATGGAATGGGACGGAACGAATTGGGACGGGATGGAATGAAAAGGGGTGGGCTGGGCTGGGCTGGGCTGGGATGCTATGGGTTGTGTTGGGCGGGATAATTAGGTCTTTGTGAGCGAGCCCGCGCGACCTCGAGGAGAAGGTTTTTCGGCGGCCATGTGGATGCGGTGGGGTGGGATGGGGTGGGAGGTTACGACGTGGATGCAATCGTTGAGTTGAAGGGGTTGAGTCCCTCCCCCCGTGAGAGTTGTCGTTTCGCGACCTTGGCGATGGGAGCATTCAGTACTTTGAGAGGCGTGGAACCAAGATGTGGAACTATTTTCGAGTTTGATGGCACTGTACACACCGGCGATGCTGCTGTAGCTTCGGTGGCGCGATGGCTTTCCGATCACCACCAACTTGTTGCCAAATAATAAACGCGAGCTTCGTCTGCTCCTCCTTCTCTACCCCCCGTCCGCTCCCTCCAGATACGACGACGCATTGGAACGCCTGCCACCTGTGTGGAAAACCTACCTGGCCGATGGCTGGCTTAAGCTGGCGACGGTCGCTCTCCGTAGGGTGTACGTTTGCGCTTGGCGGTCTGGAAAGGTAAAGTTTTTTCGGTTCTGTTATTTATTATGTAGCTTAGCATTTCGCTAACGCGAAATCCACCGCCCGCTTTCGATGAACAGACCGCGCTCTTTCGGGCAAGGTGCTTTACCAGCAAGAAGCTTGCCGCCACACTAACGACCACACCCGCGTTTGGTGTCGACTCTTCTGCGTGGTGACTAGCTTCTGAAGCCTGTCTGTCCTGTGTGCTGTTGTGTAAATTCTATTCCTCACAATCCTCACACTCTCGAGGGCTGCGTATCGCTGCGTCTGTAATCAAGCAAGCAAGACGAAAGGCTTTTACAGGCGGTGCTGGCCGTGCCGTCTTTGATGGCTAGGTTAAAGCACAAACACGCCATGTTACTTTTGCTGCTCATGCGACAAATGAAGAGTTTTTTCCCGTGTTGAGAATTTTCTGCTACACGTCCGTATTTGTACCACAACATTTACGGGTCCACATGCATGGCCGAGCGAGCATACCACGGCGCCGCGGCCGACACATCGCCCGGGCCGCGTAGACCAGCTAGAGCAAGAGTCTAGCAAAAGCGAAGAGTGAGAGTGGGGAGGAGGAAGGGAGGTGCTCGCTAGGCAGCTATTATTACAGGCTACGACGGCAGCAACACTATTATAGATTAATAAAAGCAAGTGAATCCTCACCTCGTTCGGTGTACGTTGCTAGTATTAGTCAACGAAAAAGCTCGCCTGTGCTCGGCACAAGCGTCGGTACGCAGAAACAAACGCCTCCGGTGCCCTCCTACAGAGTTAAAAAATGGCCGCACGCACACACGCACGCACGCACGCGGAGGGCATGTTCCACACACTTGGCCCCGAACGATGCACTTGTCTTTCTTGTCTATGTGTACATGACATGTGTACATGACATGGAACGAAGGCAAGAACCGTGGCGGACGTGGCGCTGCGGCTCTCCAGCAACGCGCTACGACCCTGGGTGCCCCTCGAGGAGTCGAAACGCCTCCTGGCCGAAGCGCTCCCGCTCGTTGGGGCGTTGGAGGCTCCGTCGGAGGCGGTGCAATCAGACCGGGGATTCGTCGCAAGCGTCCCCCCCGAGGGGCCGGCGTCTGAGGTACGGGAGGGGGGGGGAGCTTTTTCTGTGGTTTGTTTTTATGCATGCTGTAGTCGTTGGTGCTGCCGTTCTTGTTGCGTCTCCTGTCGCTCCCTATTGGTAGTTTCAACCCAGGCGTTAATCCCGTATTCACAAGCGAGTCACGGAACGCGGTGCGGAAACTGGAGGACGTGGGCATATTCGGATCTTGACGAGTAAGGGGAGGGGCTTTGTTGTATTGTTGGATACTTGGCCGGCCGGAGGCTGATTCCGTTGGCCGCATGTTTTGTTTTTGTTGGTTTTTACCTGTTCGCGGTTTTTGATGCGACCGTAACGGTTTTGGTGGCTCTTGTTTCCTTATCCATACGACGAGGCAACTCTGAATGCGTGTGTCGTAAGGTGTTGACACCACGTGCTCTCGGTTGCTGTGTGTTTGTGTTTTCAAGGCCCGATCCCGTCGGGAATGTCGGCACTTTTCGCGTGATGGACACGTCCTTTGTTACACCAGTTCACGATGGTGGAGTTGCGGTTTTTTCCATACCCATGGAAGAGTCTGTTGTGCGCATCATCCACACACCCCTCATTTTTTTCTGAGGTCTCCAAAACGCAAAAATGTTGGACTCCACCACCCGCACGACACGACACGACACGACTCGACTCCCCCGTCCATGATACCACTTCGACTTTTTTTCGGTGTCGCGCTACCGCTCAATCAGAGGCTCGAGGTTACCGTAGACGACTCGCTGCTCCTGCTGAGACTGTCGGGAAGGTTTTCCGCTGCGGAGGCGTCGGCGGGTGACGGGCTGGCTCTCAGGGTGGCTCTGATGTCCCTCTTGCCGCTGGACACGCGTCTGGAGGCTATTGAGGCACGTACACTATCTTCTAAGCGGGGGGGCGTGCTCATGTTTGGCATGCCTTAGCGGTTAGACCATTGACCTGAGGGAGGGGTGATGTGTTGGTGAATCCGCGGCTGTTGTTTGCGGTAGCGGGCCCCACCTGCCAAGAAAAAAGGCGTTTGGTGCGGAGACCCGTGTGGTAGGGGGTCGCTGCTCTACTGCTGTCTGTTGGCTTGGCGGGTTGTGACGTGTAGTGGTAACCTCGTGGAGCGGTGGCGGAGGGAGCGCTTCCGCTGACGGCGATCTGATGCCGTTCTCTCTCCTCTCTCTGTGAGCATCTTCTTGTTTCCCTCGGACCTCTCTTCGATACCCTCCTGTTTTCTGCCGTCCCCCCCTTTCCGTCACCATTTTCCAGCTCGCCTTCAACCACTCCGCGCTCAACTGCACCATCCGAGACACACAAAGCACCGGCCCCGCTGGAGCAACACCGGCAGCAGGAAACAGCGACCCGCCGTCGTCTTCCTCCTGCCCAGACCAGCAGCAGCCCTCGGCGGACTTGACGCTGCGGGCGGGGGGCCTTCTGACGGCCAACGTCGGGCTCTGCTTACCCTGGTCGGGCTTGCCGTCCAGCGAGCCGCTGAGGCTGGTCGAGGCCCGGGTGCCGCTCACGAATCGCGGTGGTGGTGATGTGGCCGCCGCCCCCGCCGCCGCTGCCTCGGGGGTGACTCTGTTGGTACCTTCCGGACCGGGTTCCGACATCGCGCGCGAGGGGGGCGAAGGCGGGGCCTGGGCGAGGGCGCCTGGGTTCGAGGCGGTGCGGCTGGTGCCTCCAAGGTGCGCGACGGGTACTCTCTATTGCCGTTGTCGTTAGCTTTCCCCTGTCCTGTGTTCACGGGGGGAACCAATGCTTCTTGCCCATATCGTTATGATAGTAGTTGGCTCTTGGTCCTTTTCTCGGGCTTCCCCCGCTCTTTGTTACCTCGGCTGCGTCCTCCCTCATCTTCCTCCCTTCCCTCCTTCCCCTCCCGCTGTTTTTCCTTTTTCGGCCGTCAGAGCGAGAGCGCACGTGCGCATCGCCGAGCCTTCCTCGGTCCTCCTCGACCTTACCACACGCCTCCTCGTTACCGTGTCCAAGGCGCCCGTGGCCACTCCTGCTGCTGGTGCTACCGCAAAATCGTCCGAACGAAGAGGCGGCGGCAGTGGGGGCTGCGGAAAGCCCCCCCACCCTTTCCGGGACGGGTTTCTCCATCTCGAATGCGAACCGGCACCGGTCCCGCCGCCGATAGTCTCGCCGCATTCTGCAACAACAGCCGCCGTTGGTGGGGGTGGTAGTAGTCGCGAGCAGCAACAGTCTTCGGCGGCTCCGCCACCGGCAAGACCGCGGCCGGAACGCGCTTTTTTTTGGGCGCCGGCGACGACGTCGGCGCGGACAGGGGGCGAGGATCCGTCGGTTGCGGTCTCCGATGGCAAGGGCGGCTTCTTGCCTGTCGTTGTGGGCAGCGACGGGCAGCCTTTGGAGGGGATCCCGCTCCCGCTGTCTTCCCTCGACCCTTCTCGGAAGGAGGAGGAGGAGGAGGAAGCTCGAGAGGTGACGGTTCCCGTGTGGGTTCGGTCGGAGACGGCGGGAAAGGTAGCGGTTCGGGCCCGCGTGGTCTACGGCTTGGGGGGCAAGTCGCCGGGGGCGGCGGGGGCAGCAGCAGCCGGCGGCGGTGGCGGCGGCGGCGAGGCGGAAGAAGCCGTCGCCGTGACGGAGTGGGCTCGCGCGGAGGTGCTGTGCGTTCGGCCGCTGGCGATGGCTGTCGACGTGGTCTCGGTGCCGGCGGACGAGGGCCGAGGGAGTCGTGGCGGCGGTGGAAACGGGGCCGCTGCTGCTGCTGCTGCACCGTGGGCGTGCGAGCGGTCCGGTCACACGGTTGCAGTCAAGGTTTGTTCGTGGTCGGGGTGCAGAGAGTGGTGCTTGTCTGGGTGACGGGCTTGGTGGGAGTGCACACAGTGATTTGGCACACGAGCGTGTGTACACAAGATGTTGTCGGCGGGGGGGGGGGGCGGGGTGTACTCATAGTCGTGCATGCCGTAGTCGTTAGACCATTGACCTCGCATCCCTACAAAGCCGGGACGGAGCACGCCGGGTTCTCACCGGAGCAGGCTCTCACATCACCAAGCGCGAAGCGCCGTGAGGTATTTGGCGAGTCGCATGAAGGGTGAGCTGCATCCTGCTAAGGGTGTTCGGCATCTTGTGCTTACTTCCTTGCGTACGGATGACAGCTACGTATGACTTAATTTATTTTCTGGTGTTTTCACTTCCAGAGACAGTTGTAAGCACTGTGTAACTGCCTCGAGGATGCTTGACCATTTTAACACAACGTGGTGCGATCATCCCCCGTTGCGCGGGGTGAGGTTTCTCGACCCCGCACAACATGATCTACTCGACCACCATTATGGTTACCGCCAAAAAAAAAACGAGGTAAAAAAAAAAAAAAAAACAGTAGTCGGCGGGGGGGGGGAGATACTCGCACGGATACAGGGGAAGACGTTGGGGAAGGCATATGTACGGGAAAAGAGACGCGTGGAAGAGCGCCTGATGAGGAGGAAGAGAGAGAGAGACACACACGTGCGCACACGACACAACGAGCTCCAGAGGAAGCGACATGTGTCTGACCCGGACGAAATTTCCCCCCTACTTCTGACATCGTTTTTCTATTTACCCTCAGTCTTACCCCCTCCTTCTCCGCTTCGCCCCAACGTTTCCTCACCCACTGCCGGCTCGCTGGCTGCTGCTTCCCCCCCCCCCCTTCTCATTTTCTCGCGATATCCTTTGTTGCCTCCAGGTGTCCTTGACAAATCTCCAGGAGAAGCGGCTCGTCGTCTCCCGCATGGAGGTCGTGCCCCCTTCGGCCTCTTCTTCTTCCTCATCCACCACCGCAGCCGCGGTAAACCCCGCTTCCGCGGCCACCAGTGCCACCGCCGCCGCCGCGGCTCCCGCCGCTTCTAGCGATAGCGGCGCCGAGGGCACAGTGACGTGGGCGACGCTCCCGAACGGACCGGTCCTGCACGACGACGATTCCGCGACGGCGGCGAGCGGGGGCAGCGATGGTGGTGTGGTGGCTCTTCCGGGTACCGGCGACACCTACACCTGCTGCTTCGCGGCCAAGGGGGAGGCGGAGCGCCCGGCCCCTCTCGGAAAGCTCAGGGTCACGTGGAGACCGGACGAGACGGGGGAAGGGGATGGCCCGACAACGTCCCCGACCACCGGGGGAGGGGAGGCGGCGGTAGGAGGGGTAACGGAGTTCCCCCTTCCTGTGCTGACCGCTCGGCCGCCGGCGCTGTCGGCGAGGTTGAAGGCTCCGCCCCACGCGCGAGTTGGGGTAGAGTTTTCGATGAGGTGCGAACGGCCGTGACAGTAAGGGGAAGATCAGGTCGGCTGGGGTAAGCGTAAGTCTCACGAGAAATAGGATGAGGGGGCGGGAGGCTAAGTGGTCCGGACTTTTTTTTTTCTCTTTTATGTATTGTCCTTTTTTCTACTGTGGTACTTTTTTTGCGTACGTGGATCATCTCATAGAATGACCAAGGTCACGCATGACCAGCGAACTCTAACCCGAACCCCCCTCCCCCCTTCCCTTTTCCATCCCGATTGTCGCCCCTTCGCTCTTGTAATTGCAACCCATCCCATTGTTGGATCGCGGCACCTCCCGACGCGTTGATGTCAGCTGGGAGATTTCGAATCTCACGGCGGTTTACTCTTCCATGCAACTCACCACGGAAGACGGCGGCGATTTTATCTGGAGCGGAAAGCGCTTGTGCATGCTGCAGGTACCCGATTTCAGAGTAGTTGGCTGGCCTGACACAACGTACACAGCTTGACACAACCTGCGCAGCTTGTTTTTTGTCGCAAGAGCAGGATTCCCCCCTCCCGTGAACCTTCAACACGCGTACAGATGTGTGGGATTAGAACGTGTTCTTTTAGCTCATTCTATTTAGTTGGCTCCGGGTTTCGCACCGGTATGATGAACGGAAAATCGAGGGCCTGTGCTAATTTGCATTGCTTCCATGCGGGAGGCTCCTTCCTGGCTCGGGCTGAACATGACCCCCCTTTGGCCGTATTGAACACGTGTTTTGCAGGTGGCACCGATGGAAACGGTGTCCGTGGTGTACCGCTTGGTGCCCATCGTGCCGGGGCACGTGCTGCTGCCCAAAGTTGCCGTCGTGCCCGAGCGGGAACAGGTGCGCCCAGTGGAGGAAGCTCCGGCCATGAGTGCGCTGCATCCAGCGGCCTTATCAAACGAACGAACTTCAAGAATTGCTAGAATTGCTTTTTTTTCGGTTTCTCGTTGGCTGTTGGTTCTTGGCTTCTTCCCCCCCCCCCCCTCCCGCTGGGTGTATGTACCCTCTTTTCTTGTTTTAGGGCAGTGGGAGTGTTCATGAGAAGGGGCACCGTCCAACCTGAAGCCGGACTCGGAGGATTGCTTGACGTGCTCTTAGGGCGCAGGGTTCGTGTGGCTTGATGGACTGTTTGGGCTGTGTGTGTGATGGCAAGCGCCCTCTCTTGCTGATTGGGCCAACAGAGAACAGAGAAACACGCGGGGCGGCAGAAGCCATAGTTTTTTCGTTCGGAAGCACAACAGCAGATGGCGGGTACCGGCAGCAACCCTTAACAGTCGGATAAGGATGAACACGGCAGGACGGGCCTTTGTCGTAGGTTTCTGCCCCCTTTCCTTTCACTACCCTCGCTGCTTGTATGGTGCTTGGCAGCCTAAAGTTCACCCCTGGCATTACGGCTTTACAGACGTGGTCATGCCCTAGTCTAATTTCAAGCAAGCGTGGGAGTGCGTAGCTTGAATCTTTACAAAGGAGGGGGCATGGGTGGCTTCACTCGGTGTGTTTTTTTTGTACCTCTGTTGTTTGGCTGTGAAATGAATCATACCGCTACTCTCCCGCTCGCTTTTCTATCCGGCACGACAGCCGCCATATGCATAGTGCAGTCTTATCCAACTCCAAAGCGAGCGTATGATATTCGGTCGCAGTGCCGCTCACTCAACATACTATCTGTTCGTGTGTACCCTCTGTTTCCCCTTTTAACAAATTGTCTCCGTCCCTCCCCTCCCCTGCCCTCGACCTGTTTCTTTCTTGTCTCCGTGTCTGTCTGCCTCTCTTGTCTCTTCCGGGTACGCAGATCAACATTATCCCGGACCTAGCAGAGGGACGGCCCCACATTTTTGTTCGGCCGTAGAGGCCGTCTTGTGAAAGAGACCGTTGGCCGGAGGTGGTACTCCCGTCTGCGTTGTGGGGGGAGGGCATGGTGGTGGCAAAGGAACCGTTGTATATTGGATGTGTGTTTGCGCATTTGTTGAAAGGGTTTCTTTACAATGTCGGAAAGGCGTCCCCCCTGCCAGTTGACGTTGCTATTGAGCAAGCAGCGTATCGTTGCCTGGGTTTGGCTTGCTCTCTTCCTTCGTTCGCTTTTCTCAAGCCAATATACCGGCAGGTATTATTATATTCTCTGTTGCAGCCCTTTAACTTCCCGTTGTCTGCACCGCCGTGTGCTTTGTTGAATCACGTGCTTTCTCTCGTTTGATCTGCTCGCTGAAGGCTGGCTCCCCGTGCGTCTGACGTCCCGATGGTTGGTGTTTGGTCGGCTGAGATGTCGCAGTAGGAGTCGCCGCTCTTGTATCGTTTCAGCTACAAAATATCAACTCTGTCCAATCTCGACAAATGTGATACGAGTTCGGTGGGCGATGCCTTTATTGAGCGTGCGCTTGCTTGGTTCGGAAGGAACGTCGAACTCGGTTATTAGAGTCCAAACTGTACCATCACAGACAGCGTCCTGGTTATGCGAACTAAAGCTGAACTAGTACGTGTATTTCACGAAGCGGTCTGTCTGTCTACGACCCGCTGGCTCCCTGCAGCTTGCTGCTGTTCCGCCATAAACCCGGTGCTCTTGACAGCAACACCAGGTTACACACGTGATAGCCTTTGATCGCTGTCAGACAAAACCGCCAGAAAGACTCACGCGAAAAGTCTGAAATACCATTGGTCAGCCAGTCGGCACACAATCCACACACGCAATCACCACGTTGAACTTGGGTGTACTCTCAGCACGGAAAAAGCAACGCTCGGTACACTTTGACGGGTCGCCTGCGCACTCTCGCTTCTTCCAATTGAGAGAAATCACTATTCTTTGGTTGTCCGACACGAAAGGAGGAAGAACATGCGGAGGTTTAAGGGGGACGGAGTTGTGGATCAGGCAGACCTTCTTGGCCCACACTCTCACGCTCTCTCTCCCATTGTTGTTCACGCCCTCTGCCATGCTGCCATGGGACCGCTCGCCCGCTCACTCTTTCTTGCGTCCACCCAAACCCCGTACCATTCACGCCTTCGCATAAATGCCTTGTGGAACACCCGTTGAATTGAGTTGCACTCACGATGCCCCCTTGGCCAGCCGCGGACGGTGTCTGTTGTGTGTCTGTGGGGTGCAGTGCTGCTGTGTCGTTGTGTCGCTGCAAGACGGCACCCTGATACTCTCTACAGGTTGTGCTTGTGGTTACGAGGGCCCATCATTCTACGGAAGGAACAGATGGCCTTGCAGCCCAGGTAGCAGGAACACAGGCCGCGGAGCTTCCCCGCAAGATTTGTTCTCGATCACGCACAAACAATAGCAGCAGGCCGTAACAGCAGCAGCAGCAGCGACCATCGAGGAAAATGGAGCCCCCTCGTCATGGAGACTCCAGCAGCAGCAGGCTGGAGTCGAGATATCTCCTTGTTCTACCGGTTTTGTTCTATGAGTTCCTGGCGCTGGCGCTGATTAGAGGTTTGTTGCCCACGCTGATGCTGGACTTCTGGGGCAAGTGGACGTACACCGTGATCGGCGTGATCGACACGGGCAAGGGGTGAGAGCCGCGGCATTAGCAACAACAGCGGCGGCACGTCTGAGGAGAAAAATCGTTGGTGTGTGATTGCGTGTGTTGGCTCTTGTGGGCGCGCGTCGTCTCTGGTCGGTGTAGAGGTCAGAAAGATGCACCTGCTTGTAGAAGTGGGTGCTTGGCTCCCACCTGTCGGAGAAACTCCGCTTTATCGTGTTCCGTGTACTTTGTGTAGGATAGTGAAGCACATGTACTGTACTTAATTGATCTTTCCCGACCACATATCTCATATCTACGGAACTCGTGCTCGTGGGCCGCTCGCTCTGGTTTCTATGTCGACATCTGGTGGTTTGTGCGATGCTGCACTTCGTGTTGTACTTCGACAGCAGTGTATGCCTTGGAAACAACCAATAAATCCACTTGTGGAAAGCATGCTCCCTAGCAAATGCTTCTTCTTGTTCTGGAATGAAACTACAGCAGTAGTCACTCCCCCTCGGTAGTCACTGGAAGAACCCTCCTGCGCGCTCCCCCCCTGGTTGCTGGTGTGTGCATTTCGTAAATCTGCTTTGGTTGGTGTTTGTCATGCACTGCCGCAGGTTGCTGGCGTTCGTAGCGTGTCCCATGTTCGGGAGGCTCAGCGACGTGATCGGTCGAAAGAAGTGCCTCTTCGTGACGGTGCTGGGAACGGCCTCCCCGGTGATCGCGCTGTGCATCTCCAACAACCTCTGGATCTTCGCCGGGGCCGCGGCCTTTTCCGGTACGCTCAAGCGAGCAGCAGCAGCAGCAGCAGCAGCCAGTAGCAGCAACAGAACGGTGTAGCTTGGCGAGAGGCCTAACTTGAATTATCCTCTTGCGCCGTCATGACCTGTTGGAACCGGCTGTTCAAAGTTGTACCGCCGTGTTGCGTGCGTCTGGTTGGTGTCGTCCGGGATAGAATGGACGCCTGGTGTTCCACGGCTGGCAGCATCAACTGCACATTCCTGAGGCCCCCAATTGTCGCGTCGGTGTTTTTATGGAGCGGTTTCCCGGGAAAGGGGACATGTTGTTTCAACAGACAAGGAGCGACCTTTTTAGAAGCCTAAATCAAACCATTGGACTCGTCAGCGCTGACCTGACAAGTATAGACTAACCGTGTGAGCAGTGGGCAGACTACTGTTAATGGTTTGATTTCGGCTTCTTCCTTAAAAAAACACCGCCAGACCTGTCCCTCGTGAATTTGTAGACCAATCGCAGCACTTGGTTGGGCGCGACTAATAGCCGCATACGAACCCGCACACACAAACGTTCCGCGCTGTTCTCCCTCCCTGCACAGACTGCCTCCCGTGCGCCGCTTTGATGCCTGCGGTTGTGTGGTGTTGCTCTCTTATCACCGACACCATCTCATGTATGGTAAAGACTAGTTCCGTCGTTGATACTTCGTTTGCCCTTGTATCGTGTCTTCGCCGTCGTCGCACGTGTGCACCCAGGATGCTTCGCAGCGACGTTTCCGTTGGTGTTTTCTTACATCGGAGACCTCGTGCCCCCCCGGCGGAGAGCACCCGCGTACGGCCTGGCTCTGGCGACGTTCGGCCTGTCATTCTCCCTGGGGTGAGCAGTAAGGAGTCGTGCGGTGGACGACCACCATTTGCTTTTGGTTATCCTACCACCGATGCGAATTCGATGGGGTGTTGTTTCGCACCGACGCGTGTGTTTTGAGCGCTCGTGGATCGCGTGGTTCGGCCGACGGGTACACGCAACGCCACACTCGTGTCACAAGATCACCCTGGTGCGTGCTATGACATAACCCTCGTTTCCGGCAGTCGGGGCTGGTAGCAGTTGCTGTCGCACCGCCTGTAGGAGGCACGCCGAGACCACAACAAGGTCTTGCCCCTTGGCAGAAACGTTGCCCCCCTGCCCCCCCCGGTGTTTGCCATCGGGGTTGGGTTTTCGGTGCTTGGCAACGACGTTGTAAAACAAGCCACTTCACTTCGTGAACTCGGCAACCAGGTTACCGGTTATTTTTTTACCTCTGTTTTTTTTTTTGGCGGTAACCATAATGGTGGTCGAGTAGATCATGTTGTGCGGGGGCGATAACCCTCACTCCGCGCAAGGGGGATGATCGCACCACGTTGTGTTAAAATGGTCAAGCATCCTCGAGGCAGTTACACAGTGCTTATCACTGTCTCTGGAAGTGGAAGCACCAGAAAATAAATTAAGTCATACGCAGCTGTCATCCGTACGCCAGGAAGTAAGCACAAGATGCCGAACACCCTTAGCAGGATGCAGCGCACCCTTCATGCGACTCGCCGAATACCTCACGGCGCTTCGCGCTTGGTGATGTGAGAGCCTGGTCCGGTGAGAACCCGGCGTGCTCCGTCCCGGCTTTGTAGGGATGCGAGGTCAATGGTCTAACGACTACGGCATGCACGACTATGAGTACACCCCCCCCCCCTCCCCCTCCCCCGCAAAACAACACTACTGGAACCAACATGCAATGCCCCCCCAAACGGTTGTCGCAGGCCGGCCATGGGGGCGTACATCGCTCTCCATCACGGAAACGAAGCCGTTTTCCTGTGCTCCGTCCTGCTCATCGGCATCGACCTTGTCTTCATCGCGGTTTACCTGCCGGAGTCGTTGGGGGCGGGGGAAGAGCTGGAGTTTGAGGGGGCGGGGGGGGAGGAGGCGGGAGGGGGGTTGAGGAAGGAGTTACAGCGTTCGAGAACAGCATCGTACGGCGGCGGGGACGCGTTGGGCGCGTTTCAGGTGAAGTGGCGGGGGACGGCTGCGCTTTTGGTGTGTTGCATGGAAGGCATTTGTGGTGATCAATAAAGTGCTCACCAAGTGGGACGGGGCTCACGCAAAGGCATCGTGGTAAACTGCCTTGAGCTCCTGTCACGCGGTAGGGGGTGGGTTCAAAAGTGACAAACAGCCGGACGGAGCGAATGTGAAACCTGACGTGTTCTTGGGAACAGGAGGAGCCTGGCTCGCATGTATTTTTCCAGATTGTCTTGCCTGTCGTTCTTGTTGTTTTTTTCGTTTGGCAACGAGCAGGAGCATGTCGGCTATCTCCTCGAAAATGACGCATCTCACGTACTCACAATTATTCTCTGGGGCGGGACTAGTCAAGCTCTGGATTGCAGGCTGGTTGCTATCCGTGTATTCCCGACAGATGCTGGCCCTCCTGGTGCTCTTTCCGACCCCCTTAATTCGCTTTAACTCAAGTGTATGATCAGAGTGTCATGCTCCTGTGCGTTGAACCTGTAGCTTGGTGTGCTGCCCTTGCTGAACTTTCCCGGCTGCATCTCCGCCCCCCACCCGGCCCCGCTGTTTGCTTGCTCAGTGGAACCCTCTGGCGTCTCTAAAAGCCTTCTCGGGAAACCCTCTCCTCAAGACAACGGCCAAGATAACGCTCCTCTACTACACTAGCGTGTGGGCGGTCGTGTCCACCCTGATGGTTTACGTCGCGAGACAGTTTCAGTTTGGGCCGGTCAAGGTGAGCAATTCGGCGCTAAGTTCCCTCTCTCTCTTTGTCACAAGAACAACTGCCGAGCACTCAGCAAGCGTCACACAAACGATGTCCGAAAGCCCTTGGGCGAGTGTGTTCGTTTGCGCGAAGCTAGCTTTTGTCAAAAGCCTCAACGGCAAAGAGACTACGCGTCAGGCCCTAGTCTTGACACCGCCAAGAACAGCCTGGCGACCGTCCCTCGATGCTCAGACGACACAAGCGAGAGAGCCTTTTAACGGTTTTGGTTTTCCGTGTGAAACCGTGCCGTTCAAATACCTCGATCTGCGTTCTGCTTGTGTTCGTTTCATTCGCTTGGCGGCGCCGGCGCCGGCGCCGGCGGCATCCCGGCATCCCAAGATCGGGCAACTGCTGAGCGCGTTCGGCGTGTGCACCATGTTCGCGGAGGGCGTGCTGGTGAGATGGATGGTGCCGAAGCTCGGGGAGAAACTCACCCTCCAGATCGGGCTCCTCGGCTTCGCTGCGCAGTGCGTGCTGCTGGGCCTGGCGCACTCGGAGTGGATGGTTTTCGCGAGCATGGGCGGGTGAGAGGTCCAGCAAGTACTTGTCGCCGACCGCTGTTTCTGTCGTTCCAATTACCGATCCTCGTGTATCGCGTATGGTATCTCCTCAGAGCGATTTTGTTCACCCCCCAGGGAGCGCGTTTGCGTTGCGGGGTGCCACAAGTCGAAGACTGCCACAACGGTTGTGCGAGCACCGAAAGGGCACACCCACTTCGTGCCATCCATCCACAACTCATAGAACCATTGTTTCGTGGCGTGGTGGTTCATGCAAAACCCGCGCCCGGATTCTTTTCTGCTATTGGCACCGTGAGCCCTTCTAGCAGCTACCGTCGCTACCATCGAGGGTGGCGGGGGGTGGAACCTTGTGATTTGGAACCTCCTTTCTCCATGTGGTGAATGCGGGTAGTTTCTGATGTGTTCGGGGTAATTGCGGAGCGACTCCTGGGTCCAGTCGGCGACATGCGCGCGTCTATCTTCTTTTGTCTCAATCGTCGAATTCGACGTCCGACGCTCGTGAGTCTTGAACCCCTCCTTTTTTCTTTTCGCTGCGCAGCGATCGCCCCCGCTCGTGCTGCGTTGTGGACGATGAGGCGCACTGGCCATTGGGTGATCCAAATATCGATCACATCGCATATCATGGCGTGATGTATCCATCACATCGCAAGACTACTACTGCTGTGAAGTTTTTTTTTCTGCATGGTAGCCTCTGCGGCTGGCCGCTCTCACACGCGTGTGTTGCAGTCTCGTGTTGAATTACGACGGAATACGTCTTCGTGACCCCCCCCCCCCCCATGCGTGTAGTCCTCCACTTGGCTTTCTGTCTGTCTGTCTGTCGCTGCTTGTCTGGAAAAAGGTCGTTGCTGAGCAACCTGGTCTACCCGTCCATCTCGAGCCTCATCTCCCGGTCGGTGGCCACCTCCAAGCAGGGCGAGGTCCTCGGGGCGATCAACGGGGTCCGCGCGCTCACCGAGGGCTTCGGCCCCCTGCTGTTCTCGTGCCTGTTCTGGTACACGGAGGACACCTTCCTGCCCGGGTGCCCCTACCTGATCGCCGCGGTGGTGTGCCTCGCGGCGCTGCTCCTCTCGTACGAGATACCGGACGCGATCGACGACGAGGACTCGGGGCTGCTGCTGGGCACCTTCGGGAAAGACTTGCCGGAGGGGGGAGAGGGAGCGGAGGAGATGGTGGCGCTCTTGGCGTCGGACGGAGATTCTAGTGACGATGGTGGGGGTGGCCGTGAGGAGGGGGAGGGGGCACCGAGAGGGGGCGGTGCCGCATCGAAGCGACAGGAGTTGTGAAAAACGGCTCTTGTTGTTGTTTTATGATTTTTTTGTTCCCATCAGCGAGAGCCTAGAATTTTCGCTTTCTTTGGGCGGCGAGGTGTTTGGTGTGGTGTGTAGTCGCGTGATCTGCGGTGGTTGGGAAGAGGGTATAATCTGCGGCGGTGCTGACGTCGGCAGTGCAGTTTTTTTCAGCTTTTTGTTCAGGTCGAGTGTACACGCGCAAGACCATCTATTGCACACCAGCTAAATAGCAGCGACAGCAGCAGCGGCTTCGCTAGTTCTCGATCTCCCTATTTGATCTACATTCTCGTGTGTAGCCTGCGTCCATATGATGCAATTTGATGCTTGTTCCAGGTCCTACACAGTTCGCATTTCATCTCCCATCATCATTTGACGACTCGTTGAAGAATTGGCAGTGTTTCATCACAACTTCCAGGCGCGACGCCATATTCTACTGGAGTATTTGTCAGTCCCCGGGCGATGCTAGTACCACTCCAGGCCAACAACAGCAAAACGTGTGCCTGATGTTGTGTTTCGACGTGCATGTTCTTTGCTTGGCATTCGCCGCCGTCCCCTGCTAGCCGACGAAAATCGCAGGCTTGTCTGCTCTGAAGCTGTGGTGTACCAAAGCAAACACACTCGCGATCCAAACGAACGCCTGCCCATCCGCACGCACAAACGCGAGAAGAAGGGGAAAACGGCAATGCACGTAGCACCGTAAGCAATCGACGGAGATTGTGGGGTTTGCCGTGTTGAGTACTACCCCTACACGTGGTTGCAAAAGGGGGACCCCGCAGACGTTACAAACTACCTCCAGCGCTAATAGCGCACGGGTGCAGCGGCAGAATGGACGCACTTGTTGGTGGTGCTGAATAGATAAGCGCTTGCGACCAACGACGACGTGTAGACAAAAATCGACGAAGAATGCAGAGCACTACCCCTGAGATCACCCGTAGAGTGAGAATAGAGAGAGAGAGAGAGAGAGAGAGGATGGCGTGGGACACTTGCTTCATCCTGGAAATCACGGAACCACACAAATCCAGCAACAACCAATCCCGAGTGCTCATAAGACGGTACTGGTAAGCTGAGACGCATGGATGGCAAAGCTTTCTTCAACACCATGCTCTCGAGCCTCTTACGGCTCCTTAACTACGATTCTGGCAAGCATGCAACAGAACACCGCTTGAACATCTGAACTTGCATCCATTTACGCATGCATGCATGTTTGGATTTGCCTACTACGTTTGGTCTACGCCAGGAAGACAAGCCATGAGGCCTCTGATTACAATCTAGGAGCTAGGTCAACCCTTTCCTACTACTTGCGGCAGTTGGGGCATGCCCTGCTAACCCATGGAACGATTTCATTTCACCCCCTAGTGGGTGAATGTGCGTCTCCGTTTCATCGTCCCTGGCCGGTCGATCGGTTCCTGCAAGCCGGCAAAGCCTTCACATCTCTCAAAGTCGTGCTACATATGTACGGATTCGGCCACCGACACTCCTACTGTCGCAAGACAACTGCATGCAGAAATTACTTGAAGCCCGTTTCGTGAAATCGAAGTGTCTTAGATTACGGCGGAATATTCACATGCCAAGCTGAACCGCGGTATTGTTGGGTTCTCATCGCTTGGCGAGGATTCGTTCGGCCATTGACTGCTGTAGCTCGGGACGGTTTTTACGGCCATGGTTGCGGCGCATACGTGTGCGGTTAAGGTGTGGTACGTCACGAGGCCTTGATGGAGAGCTCTGGTTCTTGCCCCTCTCGCAACATCTTTTCCGGAAGGCGACGTGTGCCGCAGCCACACCTCCATTGGCCCCACCGTCAGGGCAAGGCCCACAAAAAAATCTGTTTCGTGCATTCGCAGAGGGGCCGATAGAGGGGGGGGAGGGGCCGATAGAGGGGGGGGGGGGGGCAGCGGGCAGGTCGTCGGGCGGGGGCGCGTCAGCTAGGAATACTTGAAAGGGACACCTATCTCTCGAGCGGGTAATATATATCCCGGTGTGGCCCATACGGGGAGGGAAGCGCTTGCGATGAGGCATCATTGATCGTCAGTAGGATGCTCGAGGCGGCGGTATTCCGCCGGAGAGGGGCCTAGAAAGCCTGCAGGTGTCCATACATATTTACGTGCTCCCAACCTGGCACTTTTTGTTTTCGTGCCAAATATCCATTTCGCTCGTATGCTGTCTACATAGCGCAAGATGGTTCTTACTCGTCGCTTCGTGGCTGCGGCCAAAGCTCTCAAGAGCCCACATGCGTTGAAAATGATTTGATTCAACATCGCAACTCATCGGACACAGTTCCCGAAACGCAACACACCTACTACAAGCGTGCTACGTCGAGGAACATCCGCCCACGGGCAACATGCCACACAGAACTGAGTCCCCCCCCGCCCCTCCCCCAATCAACCACATTCAGATGTACACACCAGTCGCATTCCAAGCACTCACACGATATGAACACGTTAGCACGCAATTCCTTCCCGCCATTCGTGAAGTCGGTGTACCCGGGCATCAACAAGGGGAACATCCACCAGGTGAGGTGGCCGAGAAGGCGCTGCATGTGCACCGAGTATCCCATTGCCACGTGTCGCAGCATCCAAACCCTAATGTTGGTTTGCATACGAGTATTGGGGGGGAGGGGGGGGGACGGTGGAACAATGCATGTTTTGTGTGTCGCGCATGTCGTATCTGTGTTCCTTCATGTAGGTGTGCACGATCCTCCAATTCATTGTCCAGCAAGGGAGCGAGAGAGAGAGAGAGAGAGAGAGAGAGAGAGAGAGAGAGAGAGAGAGAGAGAGAGAGAGAGAGAGAGAGAGAGGGGGAGAGAGAGAGAGAGAGAGACGAGGGTAGTGCCATAGTGCCAATGAACCGTGGGGCAATGAGAATGTGCCAAGCCAGGCGGCAGAGGAAACTCTTTGTTCTGGAACGAAGTCGCCACCTTCTTCCTCGTACAACGCACGCACGATCGACAAAGCGCTGGCTTCTCGCGAAATACCCCCTACTTCTCAAGGTCGTTTTCGATGTTTTGACGAAAACGGATACTTCGTTGATGTTGACATGTCCTTCGAACCCCCATGCAGCAGACAACAGCGAGATTTCACGCTTCACCCACACCCCATCACCGATTCTTACCTGTGATCGGCAAAACGCTTGTTTCTTGCATGGTGAACTGCCAGCAAGCCCGTTACCAAGAAGTAGCCTGCGAAGACGAGCGATTCCCTTCCGTTGCTCCAATTCTGTAGGTTGGAGGATATTCACAACTTGCGATTTACAATTTTTCGGCGACGATGGCGGTTGTAGGCACTCCTAATGGACCAAACAGATAACGAAAAACATGTGACCCCCCGGGTTCTAGGGTGCGGCCAAAAAGCTACTACAAATTCCCGCTAAACATGACAATATTCGGTCGAAATAGTCTCCTCCCACTTACTGCTCAGGTCCGCGTTTCGCTGTGTCCGCCCAAGAAACGTCATGCACTGCTGTCGCAACCTCCAGTTCAACAGGCAAGCGGAACACCTTGTCCATCCACCCCGTCAATCCGAAGGGTGAGACTCTTGATCCGTACATGAAACGAACGCGTGTTCCGTTTCAGCTGAGATCTACATACCACAATCAATGCGCTCGGTCCGAGCGTGGTTCTACTCGCCGGAGTCGTGGGAGCCCCGCTGAGAACAAGAGGGACGAGCCCGAGGGAAATGCTGACGCTCATGAAGATGAACAAGCGTCCGAGCCTGCGGTGGGCCGTGCGGTGCTTCGCTCGGAAGGACGGGCTGAGCTGCAGCGGAGCGATCACGCTCCAGAGTCCAGCGGGGAGGATGTGCATGACCCTTCCCGCTGTTGCAGCAGCAGCAGCAGCAGCAGCAGCAGCAGCAGCACAAGAAGGGGATGTGGGAGAAGGGACTCTATGATCATTTGGACGATGGTTCGAAAAATTTTACAGTGGGGGGGGGCGGCAACGCCATTGCCACGGGTAGACCCCCTCCCCCCCCCCCCGGGGACTCAACACGATTCAACGACACACAGCAATCTACTAGCGGTTGGTGGAGGGAAACCTTTGTCGACAAGGATTCAGCGGAGTACGCACGTCAAACAGGGACCCTGGAACACACAACTGCTACATTACAAAACTCGCGTCTTAGGGTGTCGAGTGTAGAGGGGAAACCAACAGCGCAGGGCTCGGGGGATACAAAACAGGTAGGCACATGAGGTTCTTACCCCGTCCAAAAAATTACACCAACACGCGGGCATTGTGTCCTGCCTGCCATGGCTGCAAGCGGCACTAAATACGAATACGAACGACGAGCAGGATCAACATCGACGCAACGGAGCAACGGGAAACACAAACATCGAGACGAACTTCATGGATACCTTCATCAACCAAAACCCGTCTTGTGTGTCAAACCGTTCACACATTCACACACGCGGCGGGCGTTGGCTGACGAAAAAAGAAGACGCGTTCCACCCGACGCGAAATCTCTCTCACCCGGCGTTCGGGCGTAGGCCAAGATGGATGGCTTGCCCTCGGCGTCGATCAGCGGGCTGGATCTGCTGAACGTGCCTTGTTCGCCAAGAGCTTCTATCCGCCTGCACGCTCATCATTGTCCAAACACATGAAGACAAAAACAACAGTTTCTTTCAATGGAAAGGAGACAAGAAGTGCGCAGGTGTCATCACCGTTTGATGGCGAATCTTGGTCCAATGGGAATTCGATCTTGCCCGTGTATCTGCAGCTGGAACGCGCAGGAAGATACATGTCACGCTTTTTCGTCGGTATTCGAGTCTTGTCATGCTCTGCAGGCAAAAGAAGGCTCGCCTATACATACTCTGACGCAACTTCAAGCATAGTCCAATCGTGTTTGATACACGGAAAGCCATCTGCTGACGGAGGGCGTCGAGTCAAAAGTCAAGATTCTAGCAAAGTCTTGTTGAGTACAGAATCTACCTCGAGGACGGAGAGAGGTTGAGGAATTTTACACAGGATGTAGATACGCTGTTGAAGCAACACAGATGGGCTGAAGGCTGAAGAAGTACAACAGTCCAAGGTGTACGAAGTGTCTTCAGCTACTTCACCTTGTTATAGAAGGGAAGGTACCGATGCCCCACGAGCGAAACACCAGGTTGTGGACCACCATGATGAACGACAGGAGCATCAGCATCGACCACATCGCCGTGCTAAACCGCCGATGCTCAAGAACTCCGAGCATCAGGCGTCCTCCAGCAGGTTGACCACCGCCTGATGCAGGAATAGGGCCTGGCGCAGACAGCTGGGGAGCCATTCCACCACGTACAGGGGCTTTCGGCAGGCGTGTGAAAAAATGCGTCAACGGCTTCCTCTACGAGAGAGTAAACTTATGCCTCACGTTGCGGTTTTTGTTGCTCCAGCTCGTTTGACGAAGATGTCATTTGTGTGCTTTCGGCGGGCGGGGTGGCGGCGGGCGGGCGGCGGAATTATGTGTAAATAGTTTGCCCACCCGCCTTTGATTGTGGGCGAGTATCAGGCGTCCGGCAGGTCTACTGCCGCCTTAAAAGCAGGAACAGGGTCTGATGCAGGTAGCAGGGGAGTCATTCCACCACGTACAGGGGGTTTGGCAGGCGTGTACGTAGGCTGTAGGGCGGCCATGTAGCAGCAGTAGCACAGCGAACGCGGGGTGGCGAAACGGAATATGCCGCCGGCTTTTGATTGGGTGAAGCCAACAGTCCACACGGTCTACCGTATCCGGGATCTGATGAGTCTTGCTAGACCTTTTGGGCGCCACACACCCAGACACACCAGCGCACTTCTTCACACACGCGCGTGCCCATCCTATCCGCCCATCCTCTCGCGCGCATTCGGAGAGAGGACCACACGTGACACTCAAGTTGTGGTAAAGTACCACGCACGCACACGAAACACACAAAAAAGGATGGGTCGGTCAGCATCGGCATCCGGCCGCGGAACTGGCTATCGATGCCGTGGCTGAGCAAGGCGATCTGGTCACTATTCCTGCTCCTGTCGTGCATCATGGTGTTTCACAACGTGGTTCTTCGGAGCTGGGGCATCGGCTCCTTCGCTAGTATCACAACGTGAGTCAGAATCAAGACGTACGTGTACAAATTGGTCGTGGTCTTGGGGACTGCCGTACACTACATTCGCCAGCCTGTCGTGTGGGTATCGGTCTACCGTCGTGGGCCCGGTTTAGCGGTCCATAGTGTCACGATTTTTAATAACCGCTATTCAGGGCATCGCCGCTAAACCACTTTAGCGGTCATTATCCGCTAAACCAGGAGGCTTAATAGCGGTCATGAACTGCTAAAAAACCGGGAACAAGCCCATTTTTGCCCTACAATAACAGCGTGGAGAGCTGATATTGATAGGGCCATGCGTATCATTGCAGCAGTCATACGAAGGTGCAGATGAAGAAGTAACGAGCCAATGAAGGACAACGCCGCAAGCACATTCATTAATGATGCATTTCAATTCGCCAAAGCACGAAGATTATTCTCCCTTCTGGACTGTATGCCCCTCATCAAGACTGGAAAATCGTTCGCGTCTCTAACGAAGTGAAGTAGGTGATGAGACAAACTTGGGACAACGCAATGGCAATCAACCACGTGCTTGAGCATCTCATTTCTGCCATGTGTCGCGTATCGATCATTCTTCACCCAAAGCAATCTCTCTGGTATCTGCCTTGCGCGCTGGAGGAGCGGCGTGCGCTGCGAGGAACGCCATTTTGCCTTGCGAAATAGTGCGCTGTTTCGCTTGTGCCACACGACTCCGCGCTCTCCACGCTGGCCAAAATCCGATGATGCCTCCGAGTGTGGTGGCGGCGACATCACCCTCCTGCCCTTCGCTCCGTCAAATTGTGCAGTGGTATCTAGCCCTAGCTCTAGGTCGTCGTGTCGTCGTCGGAGGGGTTAGGCCTCCCTCCATGTACATACCGGACAACTTTCAACAACCTCGTCATTCGCGCCCTTTTACGCAAAGCTTCGGCGATCTCTTCCTGTGCGCACTATTTCTGCGTGCGCTACCTTCTGGTCAAGAAGCTTCAAAACCTCGAGATTCTAGCCAAAGTAGAGCCGCGTGTGGGGCTGTTGTCGTGTAGCTGCAGCGCGAGTTGTTTCTTTCCAAGCGCCTGGTGCTAGAAAGTCACCTTACACCTCTCGGCGCTTGGGCGGATTTGAGAAGTGAGGGGAACTCTGCGCCTTCTTGGTTGTACGCCGGTTGCATCTCGTTCTCATCCGGAACCTCCATCTCCCCACACACATGCCATGTATGCGGCCACCACAGCAACCTTTACAATCATGCACGCCGCTTGGACTCGTGCCGCATCTAGAAGCTTGCACAGTTCTCCATCCACGCGCCGCATGGTGTGTGTATTTATTATTAGCATCGACCGCGCTAACCGGCTGACCAATGAAAAGACGTCGTCGTCAGTCTCAGCGCGGTTGAAAACACAAAACACTTCTATACAATGTCATTAACTGGAACCTCGTGAGGGGGCGGCATGGGGCAGATAACAGCTATTCCCCGGAGTAAGGGCAGACACGGTAGGTAGCAACAGAGGAAAACTGCCACCTTGCACTCGAGTTCGTTTTGGAGTGTTTTCACCATCATCCTCCTTGCTTTCACGACCATCACTCTCTCTAATCGTCGTTTCTTCAGCTATTTTTCGGCGGTTCTTCTCTGGCCCTGCGTCGTTTGGTGTATGTGTGTGTGTCTCGCTGTGTCCTTTATATTGTGAGCATCGACCAGCTAACAGGCTGACCAAGTCGCTGTGCCGTGAGTATGTGCAAGCGAAGCGCGCACTACATGCAGGTCCCCGCAAAAATTGAACCGATAACCGCTATTGGTGGCTGCAAACATGTCCAATAACCGCTATTGAGGGCGCGACCGGTTTAGCGCTTGTACCGCTAAACCGGGGTGCAGCCGTGTCACGAGATTTTATAACCGCTATTCAGGGCATCCCGCTAAATACCCAAAACAAAACACAAACAAAACACACACACACACACATGGATTGCACTGGTTCTCATTGCTTATGGGTTTTCAGAAAATAAATGTGTAGTATCCTTTCGCCTACTGTTTTCGTGGTTCGGGACATCATTCGCTGGCGGAAGTCAATTTTCTCACGCTTCCTTCTCGGGGGCACGCACGGGGGCGGGGTCGTCGGACGGCCAGCACCCGTTGCCCGTGTGCTTGACGCCCAAAGTTGCAAAAACCGGCTCTCGACACGCCAACACACGAACACTCTTCTACCGTACTCACTGCTGTTGTGAGAATCATGCGACCACCATTTACAGCGCCCTACGTACATGGTATTATACTCCGAACTAGGAATAATAGTGATATTCCCGATTAGCCGCCAGAACTACGACTTTTTTTTTTTTCATGATTTTTTTCTTCGTCTTCAAACACAGCAGTTGTGGGCCCCGTATAGTGCCGGTATGTGCCCAGAGATTTTACCCACTTATATAACCGGACATCGGCACTATCCAAAGCTCTGCAGTACCGGAACGACTTGGGTGTTTCAGTGTGTGCGAGCTGAAAACACCGACACTGCTGTAACCGGGCACCCGGCACTATTCGACCGGCACAATACAGGGCCCACTACTGCAGCAGTGTGCATCTACGTTTGTATCTCACTGGGAAATGTGTCTTCATTTTCAAACCCCGAACTAGGAAGTGTTTTTTTCCCGATTAGCCGATTACCGTAAGAATCGGAGAGTTGGCACCGGGTGCGATCGTTTTTTTTAATGGTTTTTCCTCGGGTTTTTTATCGCACCCCGGTGCCATCTCTCCGACCCCGGTGCGGAAATGCAATCAAATCATTTCGTTTATAATTTTCAAGGCACCCCGATCCCTCCGACCGGTGCGATCCCAGATGAAATGCACACAGGTGTTGTACGCACGCACCCCGGTGTCATCTCCTCGACCGTTGCCATCGTATTGATTGGTACCGAATGTAGGTACCCACGCACGCACACGGCCTTCTGCACGCACACGCACATACAACATACCCCGAAAAAAGCGGCGAAATAGAGCAAATAAAAAAAATAATAATATAAACGATGCAAGTCCGTGCGAGCGCACACACACAGCCATTGATTGTGCCATGTCAGAGGGTGCAGGTACTGCTTCCTTACGACGTCGTTTCCATCTGAGGTGGTACCAGTACGCACGGTATCAATTGTTTCCCGCTTTCGTTCCGGTCTTCTTCTACGGATACCAGGACGTACGCAGAAGTACAACAGCTTCGGGTTGTGTCAGGCGGGGTAGGGTGCGGCCTGTACGTTGTGTGTTTGGTTGAGTGTACGGTTGGCAACTTCTATACCAATTAAAATATGAACACAACTGACAATCCCGCGTGAACCGCGACCATCCAATCGTATGTAAAGGAGTGTGGCGCTCCGCTGACTCCGTCCCCACTTGTAAAAGGTACGCACATGTACCTCATTCCGGCAGCTGAAAAGGAGTTCAATCTTGGATTTGGGGGTTGGAGAGATCACACAAGGTGCGATCTCACCGACCCCGGTGCGTAAATCGAATTAAATGTTTTTTTCTCGGATTTTTTATCGCACCCCGGTGCCATCTCTCCGACCGGTGCCATCTCCCCGGCCCGTGCCAACTCTCCGACTCTTACGGTAGACAGCAGTTTGCACCCAGTACACCCGAAGATGTACATCAGTCTGCAAAAACCACAGCGGCGGTCTCGACCGGCCACGACACGGGTAACAGCGGGTAGTTTGTACACTCAATTGTACGTCCCGAAGACTCGTGCCGCCGCCACTGCAGCATACTACACCTGCACAAAGAGGCAAAAACACGATGTTACAAATCCGAAGTTTTGACTCCTGCGCAAGCCACCCACGTTCCCCGCATCATGAGCAACGCGGTACAAAACGCAACAAAAGAGATAGAGCAAGAGCAGCGGGTTACAGCAGTAGGATCTGGGGCCAAGCCGCCGCTACCCTATCGTATGTGTGCTCGGGACTCACCACGCCAAAATTCTACCAAATGCTACATGTCGGACAACACGGACAAACAGGCAACGACACCGGCTCCAATTCCCGATTCCCCGCTGGGGTATTTCGCAACAGGCAATGTTATTAGCCCGACTGATCACAGAGAATCTGCGCACAAACCTCCAAGCGATGGCCGTACAAATATCCGCCGAAAAGAATGTGCTTCGAGGATTATTGTTGCGTAGTAGGAGGTTCTACGGCGAAGACGCCGCAAGCGCGCGCGAAGTGTCACGGTGAGAAAAAATGGTTTCCCCGCAAATTGATGCGAGGAGTTTTCTGAAGTTTGTACCGAAACCTTGACACAGGTGGAGATCAGATATACAACGAATGATGCAAGGATGATAGCAGTGGCCGTGTCCTCTTTCGTCTCCCCAGGGAGGCCATCGCACCTACCTCCCAAGGGGAACCTTGTACCTACTGTTCTTTTCACCGTCATTTCCAGAATCTCATGATGCTCTATCATGCACCATGGGTCATCATGCCGCACCACGGGAGGTTTGGGAACCTCACGGGCGTTCATGGTGCTCCATGAGTCATTACAGCAGTTTGTTTCAGTTTGTTCTTCTTCTTTTACATTTTTTTTTTACGTTTGTATACTATGAAGCACCATGATAGTCCATGGCGCACCATGAGGAACCACATTTACTTACCGTTTCTGCTTACAATCTGTATTCTGTTGACTGAAATTTGCTCATTCACATCGCCTCATGGTGCACCATGGGTGAACCATTCCCGATGTCTCATGAGGTTTCCCATGGCCTGCTATGGTATGACATTGTGGAAATGATCTCATGGTGCCCCATGAGCAATCTCGTGGGCCTCCATGAGACTCCCATGAGATTATTCTCACGGTCCCTATTATACCTGATGGTTCCTCATGCTTCCTGATGGTGGTCCATGGAACGTCGTTTTCTCACATTTTTTCATCTATTCGCCCCTGTAGTCGAGTTGATAGACCCTCTAGTGGTCAGGGTCAGGGGTTCGAATCCCGGCGTTAGCGAGCTTTCCTCGCAAAGTGAGTTTTTTCTCTCGCTTCCGTTCGTGGCCTGGGTGGAAAGCTCTACAACATGTAATTCGTGTGTACACAGAGGAAAGAGCGTGTTGCACTATTATTCTCGAATTAAAAGTCGACGGCAAAGTTCCGCAGGAGGGGTTGGGTACGGGGAAACCCTTCTGTGTGACCACGGGTTTGACGGCACCACAAGTGCTGTGTGCGCTGATTTGAAGTGAAGACAAGAATAAAAAAAATCTACCCACAAATGTTACTGTCTGTCCGTACTAAATGTGTGCTCCGATCGGAGGGTCCGCAATGCCAACACCTCATTTGAGCACCCGCCGTGTCGCCTGTGGGTCTTGATTTTAGACTGGTGCCATGATTTGTCTCGGTTTCGGGACACGATGTGCGGAGGTAGAGTACGTGAAATGCTGTTAGAAATAATACCCAACCGCTGCTAGGTGTGACAACCTACGCTACGGTTTAGTTTTTGCACGAAACTGGCCTACTGTGGTCTCACGTGTCTCGTGTGTGATTTCCGGGTGCCTCGGTCGTTTTCGAAATCAGAGAAGAAATCTAGATCGGTTTGCAGGCAACGTAAGGAAACCTCCATCGAAAACAGAAGATGTAGCAAGGACCCGCACCTAAGTTGAGGGGGCGCGGACAACAGTGGTTCATCGAATCTAGCATCAACCAAGAGACCAAGGACCGGAAAATCGAAAACGACTCTCCCGCTTTAGGATTCCTTCCCTTTGTCGCGAGGAGTGCAGCGCAGCTCTGCAGCGAGCCTTGCAGAAGATCGTAATACCGGAAATTGATAAGTAATTCAATCATCAACCTAGGAGGCAACACCTCAATTTGGCGGGAACGTATTTGGACAGACTTTGCTCAGTAGCGCCAACCTTTTGCCGTTTTTGTGCGCACATGTTTCTCATGACGAGAAAGGCGGGTTTGACGAGTCAGCTGCCTCAGCAGTTTCTGCTTGTTCAACATCGTTAAGAGCGCTGCCCTGCTTTCCTCGTGTTGACCCTTGCAGACAAGTCGTACGTCAGGGCGAGCAAGGCTTTTTCAGGTCCACCCCGCTGTACGATGCCGAGGGCAAGCCGTCCTTTCTCGCCTACGCCCGCACGCCGGGTGAGTCAGCCAGTATATAACCAGGGGGACAGGTGTTGCTCTGCGCATCTCCCAAGCTCTCCCTCGTTCTTCGCATCCCCGAATGCTACAACAATTTTTGGATACATTTACACTGACCCCATCGCAAGCATGGCTCTTCGATACCCGACCCCAATAGCCCAGGGTGACCCCAACATGCACGGGCCCAACGCCACCTCCTTCAACCTCGCCCATATCGCCTCCTCGTGCTGCTTGCTGCTGCTGCTTGCTGCTGCTGCTGCTGCTGCCGCCGCCGCCGCTGCGGCAGCGGGAAGGTTCATGCACATCCTTCCTGCCGGACTTTGGAGCGTGATCGCCCCGCTGCAGCTCAACCCGTCCTTCCGAGCGAAGCACCGCACGGCCCACCGCAGGCTGGGCCGCTTGTTCATCTTCATGAGCGTGAGCATGGCCCTGGGAGTTGTTCCGATCGTCCTCAGCGGGGCAAGCTTGATTCGGCGCTCGGTAAGACGGCCGTCGAGGGCACACGTGTCTCGGAAACATTGAGGGCGCTCGTTTGCCGTTTTGATGAAGCCGTCCGACGATGCTACATTCTGTGTCGTGACGGAGCCGGGGTAGATGGGCGAGGAAGTGAACAGGCACCCTTGGTTATTTCACAAATAGATGTTTTGACCGCTGGTGACGCTGCATCCCTCACCTAATACCGTACCGGAGGGGCCTGGTCCGCACTAGACGATGCTCGTCCGCATCTCGGTGAATCAAGAGGAAAATATTGAAGCGAGCGCACCGTAGATCTTGACCGCTTTGCTCCCGATTGATTGAATCTTGGCTCCATCCCTCCTATTCCTTGTGAGGGTCCATGTCCCGTTTTTTTTTTTGTATGGATACGGTGATGCTTGCGGTATTTTTGCCCACGCGGTGTCGAGATAGATAGGGGCATGGCTCGCGCGTTTCGCCGAGCTTGGAGCATATGCCCCCCCCCCCCCCCCCACTCCCCCCAATTTTCCCCCCCCCCCACCTACCCCCCCTTCCATTGTTCCCAACAACAATATCCCTCCAGTTTCCACCTCCCCCACCCCCTGAAAAAACCCCCTGGGTTCCCCAAAACCAAAACCCCAAAATATTTTTAACCACCCCCCCGAAAACCCAAAAAAAAATCCAAATCCCGGACCCTTCTTTCTATCCCCCCCGGGCCCCCCCCTTTTTCCCCCTTGCCCCCCCCCCCGCCAAGCCCAAGGAACCCTCCACCGCGGAATGTTCCCCCCCCCCGCCCACTTTCCAACCACCGGGGTGCCCCCCGCCACCCCCCCCAAAAACAAGCCGTTCCCCCACCCCCGGTAAAGGCCCCAAAAACCATCCCCCCCTAAAAACAAGAAACCCCCGCCCCACCCCCCCGCAAAACCTGGGTATGGACGTGCTGTTAAAACT